TATCAGACTTTGGCTTTTCAAAAGTGAAATCAAATGTAGGCTTAATCAACACTTAGAAACGTAAATATATAAATCAAATTTGAAATCAAACCTTGAATAAGGATTTGTGAGAACTTGACCTTCAATGGCTTTCGGGTTTGCAGAGATGGAGATGGGTGTGATGGTTCTGTTTCAGAGATGGTTCGGGTTTGCTAGAGGCGATGGCAAAAAGGCGATGGCAAAGGGCTTCTTCGATGGTGAGCAAAGATCTGCGATGGCAAGGGATGAGTTCTTCGATGTTCTGCGATGCAGGCAACGGCAAAGGGATTCTTCAATGGTTCTGCGATGGAGGTTGGTGTAAATGGGATGGGGTGTGTCTGCAAGAGGAGAGAATTTTCGGAGGGGTGTGGCTGGATATCAGATAGGGTGGGGTTTGATTTCAGATGGGGTGTGGCTGAAAGGGAAGGGGGTTTTCGGTGGGTGGTTAGGGAATGGGGTTTATGAGGGCAATTTAGGGGAAAAAAAAAAGGGTTTAATGAGTAATTTGAAATTTTATTAAAATTTAGTGGGGTGTAAATAATTATGGGGTGTAAAGAGTAATTTATGGGGTTCATATAGAATTTCCCTATTGTTTGTGATTACTCTCAAATTCAGGGGTTCACAAGTAATTTACTTCTGAAAGACAGTGGAAATTTCAGGGGTTCAGTTCACACTGTACTTCACTAGGAGGAAAGTAGGTTTCGCAAAGACTCACCCACGTGCTTTTGTATCATTACCCAGTGGCATTGATGTAAATAAGGTGCATATTTAATGCTGACATACAAGACTCATTGTGTATGTATGTGGACCCATTTTTCCACTTTTTTAGACCTGCCGATTTGTCAATGCCCCTGATAATAGCTATTCAGACATTCAAAATGCTAACGCCCAATAATAATTTTTCAATTGATCTAATGACTATTATCTCGTGACCTACAAAGAAATTGTAATGTGGGATTATAGCGATAACATTTGCGAACCCAAACTATATATGGAAACATGTTTATACTTTAAACCAAACACTTGAGTTATGTGATTGACTACACAACTCCTTTAAACGCAAAATATAAGTCTACATTATTGTAGCAACTTGTAGCACTAACAAAAAGTAAAAACTCCTTGAGATTGTTACAACTCCAAAATTAACCATGCGTGCGTGCGTACATATATATCTATACGTATACATTATATAGATCTAGACTTGTAGGTTTATTTTCCAGTGTTCTGGTTAAGCCTCGCGGCTGCAGCCAGCGATTCAGCCACACCTCCACAAGTGGTGCTCGTAGTCGAACTGTTCCTCATCTCTGCCCAAGAAGGAAAGCGGAAGAAAGAGAGAAGAAACAGCCATGCGAAGGAAAAGAAGAAGAAAAGAGGAGGAAAGAGAGAAAAGGAGAAAAAGAAGAAAAAGGAAAAAAAAAAAGAAAGGAGATAAGATAGTTTTTGAGCTTTAATTTTTTTCATTGTTTATAATAATTTTAGCCTCTAAAAATATCATAATTAAAAAAAAAAGTAGAACTGAAATTAGCAAAAATTCACCTGAAAAACAATTGTACCACCAGACACGTTTTCATTGTTTTTGTTTTCTAAAGATGTTTTCTAATTAATCTACCAGACGCATTTTCATTTCCTGAAAATGCAAATTTGTTTTCTTGTTTTCATTCTCTGAAAATATTCTCAGAAAACATTCTCCGAAAACGTTACCAGACGGGCCCTAAATATTCCTGAAAATTTGGAGTGATTAACTGTGTATTGGCCCATGCATGTCCTTTCAAGGTGGACCCAAGATGAGACTCAGAGGACATGCATTTCCTTTCGGCACCTAGCTTTTCTCTGCATATTGACGTAAAAGAGGCAACATCATCATCTCTTAAAGGAATTTTCATCTCAAATTCCTGAAAAGGTGATTTACTTCTTAAAGACGGTGGAAATTTCAGGGGTTCACACTACTGGGAGGAAAGTAAGTTTGGCAAAGACTGACCCATGTTTGGTGCAGTAGAAAGTCTCGGGCGGGGGCGCCGCGG